GATAAGGAAGCTGATAAGTTGGCACCTAGAACAGAAGTACGGCTGTTTGTAGGTTACCCAAAGGGAACGAGAGGTGGTTACTTTTATAGTCTTACAGACCAAAGGGTGGTGGTAAGCACCAATGCCCGGTTTTTAGAAGAAGACTATATGAGTGAGAATAAGTCCAAGAATGAGATTATTCTCAAAGAGTTGAGGGAAGACAATGTCATACCTAGTGTACAAGAGGATTTACCACAAGAGACTACACAACGTGTTGACTCTGATGTATTTACACCTGAACTGCCTCGTCGTAGTAGGAGGGTTGTTCGTCAGCCCGATCTTTTCATGTTTATGGGAGAGTCTTCGGACTTGATCCCAAGTGAAGATCATGATAGTGATCCCTGGACCTACAATGAGGCAATCCAAGACGTAGATGCAGATTTTTGGCAGAAATCTATGGATTCTGAGATCGAATCTATAAATGCTATGGAGGTATACGACCTTAGGGACCTTCCTGAGGGCAAGAAAGCCATTGGGTGCAAATGGGTCTATAGGCGTAAGAGAGGATCTGATGGGCAAGTTGTTGCCTTCAAGGCACAGTTGGTTGCGAAGGGTTTTACTCAGAAAGAGGGAATCGATTATGATGACACCTTCTCACCGGTATCCATGTTAAAGTCGATCCGGATTTTCTTATCCATAGCATCTCACATGGACTATGAGGTTTGGCAAATGGATGTCAAGACAGTTATCCTTAACGGAAACTTGGATGAAGACATTTATATGCAGCAACCTGAGGGTTATGTGAAGAAAGGCCAAGAGCATCGAGTGTGGAAGCTGAAGAAGTCTCTTTATGGACTAAAGCAAGCTTCTAGGTCTTGGAATATTCGTTTTGACGAGGTGATCATGTCCTATGGATTTGATCCATGTCAAGAGGAAAGTTGTGTAGACAAAATGAGCAACGGAAACGTAGTGGTATTCTTAGTACTATACGTAGATGATATTCTTCTCATCGGCAACGATGTCAAGGTATTGTCAGACGTAAAGTTATGGCTTTCAGAACAGTTTCAAATGAAGGACTTGGGTGAGGCATCGTACATTCTTTGAATCAAGGTCATTTGTGACAGGAAGAAGAGAATGTTTGTGTTTATCCCAAGTCGCTTACATTGGTACTGTGATTGCTCGTTTCAGCATGCAGAACTCCAAGAAAGGGTGGTTGCTACCTTTTCGGCATGGAGTTCTTCTATCTAAGGATATGTGTCCAAAGACACAAAAGGAGATGGAGGAAATGGCTAAGGTTCCTTATGCTTCGGCTGTAGGAAGCCTTATGTATGCCATGTTGTGCACGAGGTCTGATATTTGTTATGCGGTAGGCATGGTAGTGAGATATCAGTTTAACCCTGGTCAAGGACATTGGACTGTGGTAAAGCATATTCTCAAGTAACTGAAAAGAACTCGAGATTATATGCTTATTACCAGTCAAACGGTCTCACTCCTTTGGGTTACACAGATTCTGATTTCTAAGCTGAGCGAGATAAGATAAAGTCGACCTCAGGTTATGTGTTTATGATGGGAGGCGGAGCGATCTCATGGAGGAGGTGAAGCAGAAATGCATCGCAGATTCCACCATGGAGGCCGAATACGTTGCTGCATCAGAGGCAACAAAGGAGGCTGTTTGGCTTAGGAGCTTCTTACTGGACTTAGGGGTATCTCCGAGTGTGCCTAAGTGTATTACAATTTATTGTGACAATGCTGGTGCAGTCGCAAACTCGAGAGAACCCCGAGCACATAAGGCCAGCAAACACATCGAGAGAAAGTACCACCTTATACGAGAGATCGTAAAATGAGGAGATGTGGTTGTGACGAAGATAGTATCGTTGGATAACCTAGCTGATCCCTTCACGAAGACTCTGACTGCCAATGTCTTCGAGAAACACATAGAGGGTCTTGGTTTACGATGTGTGGCAGATAGACTTTGAGTATAAGTGGGAGAATTGTTTTGACATGCGTTTGTATACTAAAAGTCTAACTTTAGTATAAGTGGGAGATCGTTGGACTATACTATAAAGCAAACTTTTATGTGAGCTTTTGGATTGTATTTATTCAATTTCCCATTTGACTGAAATAAATGTTTTTACATTGTTGCATTCTTTATAATTGCTTGTATGCTAAATGTCCAATTATCTTATATTGTAGACAATGTGGTGTGTTAGTAGTCACACAGAAGATTACATTGTCGGTTCCTTATAAGATATAAATGGTATTCACAACTGAGATAGTTATGGACATGACTATCGGTGTAGGTTGTAGTATAAACTGTATGTAGCTTGTCTTGGCTATTGGTTTATATTAGTGCGCTGCGTCGCATTGAATGGATCACAGTTGAGACATGTTCTTCTGTTCTGACCATCATGAAGAACCAAGGTCTCGGTGACTCTACTAATTCTTAACCCTGACTGTAATACTTAGATATGTGGGATATTTGTTTGTTACTTTGATTTACCATGGGTGAGAACCAAGTATTGGTTCAATATGCTCCGTATCTTAGGTAAAACCATTGTCTGCATGATATCTATTTATTGGCATTAGGGAACCGTGTCCTGGACATCCGGGTTGGTGACGTCCCCTTAAGAAACTCATAAGGATTATCGTATCAAACCCTGCAGGTGGATTTAATCCGTACGATAATAAGGTTGAGTGGTACTACTTAAGGAATAAAAGATATTAATTAATTAAAGCAATCAGAAGCTTTAATAATTAATGGACGTGCGATATCTTAAACACGGGAATTATATCGAGTCTAATAAAAGCCCTGATTCATTTCGGGATAGGACGGGAGTGCAATATTAATTCTCTAGTGGAATGAATTAATATTTACGGGACAAATTGTGTTATGGGCTGAACATAAGAATTTGGGCCCGTAGGAAGCCCAAAATCTATACCTTCTAAGATATCCCTAGTCTGGCCTAAGGACCTCTATAAAAGGAGGGATTACACATCTTGGACCCTACTCATTTATCACAGAACGTGACACTTTCAGCCGCCATCGTGAGGAGAAGTGACGTTAAGAGTTCGGAGAAGACGAGACGCAATCTGCTCCTTCCAACCGTTTGGTAGATCGTCGTCCATCTGGCGTCCAAACGTGGTCGGGACACAGACTAGAAGATCGCTCACATCGAATCAAAGCCTCGGAGAAAGGTACTTCTCTGTTCATACTTTAGGAGCATGCCTAAGGTATATTCGAAATCATGTATGTACGTGTTTGGTATCCGATATCGATCCGTGAGATGGACCGCCTCGCCGGCGTGTTCCAGCAGGGCATCGGTGTATGTCTACCTTCTCTTGACATTTCTTGAAAGACACTCGGTGGCAAGCATCATCCTTACCTCGGTACAATCCACGCCATGAAAGCGGATCGTGATCTACTTTTTGCGCGAAGCCCTATCTATCTATTTTTTTCCATCAAACATGCCTAGTTATATTTTTTTTTTGGCGGTTGGAGTATAAGGATTTTACTCTTGTATATGCGGTTCTTGAATATGAGAAACATTATCGGATATAGTAAATTATACGATAGATTTGGATATGCGATTTGACAACTATGCGAAAATATGTCGCATAATATAAAATATGCGACGTTCGATTTGGATATGTGATAGCAAAATATGTGAGAAGTTCTCGTATATGGTAAATTATACGATGGATTTGAATATGCGATTCGTTAACTATGTGAAACTACGTCACATAATTGTAAAATATGCAACGTTTGATTTGGATTCACGATTGCATAATATGCGTAAGTGTTTCTCATACTTGTTAATAATGCATCCGATTTGGATATGAGAGACGTAAAATATGCGAAAACTTGCCGCATATTCGTAAAATATGTAACTATCAATTTGGAAATGCGGTAACTATAAATGTGAAATAAATTCGCAAAACAAAAAGTATGCGGTGGATTTGGATATGAGATTAATAGATATGCAATTATGTTTCGTATAACAGTTAATTATGCGTCCGATTTAGATATTTGTGAATATATATAAGACAAAATTTCGCTATTGTTGTGATTTTTATTAAATCACATATAGTTTTGTGAGTTGTATGGTGGAAAAAATTTTTTTTTTGATAGAACAATAGGTTAAAAAAAACATGTATATATTGAGGTGTAAAAAAAAGTGGAAAATGCTACATGTATATAATAGTGTACATAGGGGTGTACATAATACTTACATTGAGTGGGACCTACCAAAAATAAAAAATCAAGTGAACTCCACTCCATGTGAGTGTTATGTACACCTCTATGGCCTTGTTTGGCGATCAGCGGATAGTAGATAGCGGATAGCGGATTGTATCAGCGGATAGTGAATAGCGGATTATATTAGCTGATTTGACCAGCGGATTGCATTAGCGGTTTTTAAATAAGTGTTTGGTAAATAGCTGAAAGCTTATAGCTGTTTGACATTGCAAAATGACCAATAAGGACATTTTATTATTTATGGTGTATTCTTTTAATAATAATATATTAAAACATTTAATATTCTTTATTTGATAATTTATAAATATATATTTTTTTTTTAAATTTACTAACACTTGATGAAGAAGTTATGAATTTTATATTTTTCTAGATAAATTAATCATATGGATGACATATTATTATTTATTAACTCTATAAACCAATGTAGATTGTAAAATAAATAAGACAAATTAAAAAGTTATAAGTAAAACCTCTCAATTGTAAATCCTCTATCCCAAAAAGCTACTCTAATGAGCTTTTTCTAAATTAGAGTTTTGGGCTCAAAAAACTTATCAAATAAGTTATTTACCAAACAAGCTCAATAGCGGATTTGACGGGTCAAACCTCTCAATTAAGTTCAATCCGCTAATTTATCTTCAATCCGCTATCTACCAAACGAGGCCTATGTATATTTATTATGTACCTGTAGCATTTTTAAAAAAAAGTTGCCATTATTGATAGTACTTTATTTATATTTATTGGTTCCAGAGGCGAGGTAGCCAGTGCTCTGGTTTCTGTCTCGGAGGAAGGAATAATAATATAATAACCTCCACCAAATGGCTAACCGCTCTGCATTCCACGTATTTTCTCTCTCTTATTTTTATTTCTTTTTATCTTTTATTCTGTAGCTTTCCCACCCACTCTCTCTCTCTCGATCTTCACCATCTTCCTCCTATCTCACCTGCTGCCTTCCAAATCTCAACTCCATTCCTCAATGCCGACTACTACTCAAACTTTTCACTTTCTCCACAAATACTGCATCTCAACAGTATCGCCGCATGCATAATCTCCGATCTTGGTGTTCCCCGATTTTATGAAAGTTTCAAGAGAAAAATGTCCTATTGAGCGCGGGGCATATTTTTGCTCTGGACAAATATTCGGCGCTCATCTGGTCTTTCTAGTGTTTCTCAGTCGGGATGCAGTTTCTGAATGAGATTCACCGCTCCAATTCTTGAAGCTTTCGAATGGAAAATGGTAAATCAGCGAACTTCTTTAAATCAATTTTTATTCCAGATGGTATGCGAGTGATTGTTAACAAAAGTGCTTTGATTCTTTTATGGCGGCCTTTATCTGATTGGGCACGTTTCTATTCTGTGGTTTAGTCATTTGATTTGGTCTTTTACGGGTATGAGGGATTTATGCGGTTTTGCAGTGATAGAATGAGTAGTTTCAGTAGAAGTGTTTCTTTCAAACAAAGGGCCGCGAGTGTGGGCAGCCCGAGAGTGAGTAGAAAGAGTTGCGTCTCGAGGCTGTTCCGTGCTCTAATTGCAATTGGGTCCCTGGTCTCCTTCCTTTTGGCCACCGGCTGTGGGTACTTGTACGTCCTCCCAAACCTCACTCACGCATTCCATGACCGTGATGTTGGTTTTTCGGGGTTAAACAGTTCATCTGACGCTTGTGATGTGTTTGACGGGCATTGGGTGCTTGATGATAGTTATCCCCTGTATAATGCCTCTGAGTGCCCTTTTGTGGAGCAAGGGTTTAACTGCTTGATGAATGGCCGTGAGGATGAGGATTATCTGAAATGGAGGTGGAAGCCCAAAAACTGTGAAATCCCGAGAGTTAACACGCAGCGTGTTCTGGAAGCTCTGCGGAATAAGAGAGTTGTTTTTGTTGGTGACTCTATGAGTCGGACTCAGTGGGAGTCTTTGATATGTCTGCTGATCACGGGCGTGGAGAATAAACGAAGCGTTTATGAAGTCAATGGAAATATGATAACAAAGCAGATTAGGTTCTTGCGTGTGAGGTTTAGTACCTTTAATTTCACAATTGAGTTCTACCGATCGGTGTTTCTCGTGCAACACAACTGGGCGCCCAAGAATGTGCCCAGGAGAGTTCGGTCGACACTTAAATTGGACAAGCTGGATGACATCAGTAAAGAGTGGATTGATTCGGATATTCTGATTTTCAATTCTGGTCAGTGGTGGGTTCCGGGGAAGCTTTTTGGGACGTAAGTTCCGTTTTCTTTCCATTTATTAGTATTATTGTACTTTTTTTGTATCTATACTTTTTTGATCAAGTAAAGTAATGCGAAAGCATCCTTGACCTGTTTTCTTTCTACTTCTTCTTCTTCCTCTTTTTTTCTTTTTGTTTTTTATCATTGCCAACATTCATTTGCCACTGCAATGTATTCTCTACTCTATCTTACAGTAGTTTACTTGCCCATAGGAGTCGTTATTATACTAAGAAAAATGTTCCGTTTTGTGTTTGTTAGCTTACTCTAAAAATTGATGTTGATCTTTTATCCTTCATGCCTACAAGATTTTTGAATAGAATGCAATATTATTGAAGTGGATGAATGAAAGGGTGAATTTTTCTTTTCCTTGCTGCATCTGTGGGACATAGAAGTTTGAAATGCTATTATGTTCTGATGAAAGTTTAAGTTGTATTTTGAAATGTGAACCAGGTCTTCCATAGTAGTATAACTAGGCTGCACTCTTTCAGAGAAATATATGAAACAATATTTAGTCTTGTGTCTCTTATAATAGAAAAACGCGTGAAGTCTGTTGAGTATTTTGGGTATTCGAACTGCTGCAGTTCCTGTTCGCCTCTTGGACTTTACTAATTTGTATAGGTGGCACTCTGATAAGAGGAAATGATCTCTAGGCCAGTAATTGTTTGTGTGACTAGCTGATTGTAGTGTATTGTCTTTATGATTTCTCTAACCAATATTATGTTATAAGCTGGATTCTACTATTTTATCTCTTGATTATGAGTTAGGAAGTCTATAGAAAAAGTCTCCAACACAGTGAATTGTTTTCTTTTCTAGTAGTTACTCTCTCTCTCTCTCTCTCTCTCTCTCTCTCTCTCTCTGTATGTGTATGTGTGTGTGTGAGAGAGAGAGAGAGAGAATTGTGATACTCCTGTTATTTGTCCTGAAGTACATGTTAAGTTGAATTTGATGCTTTTGACAGGGGATGCTATTTCCAGGTTGGCAAATCGCTGAAACTCGGAATGCCCATTGCCGAAGCCTACCGAACTGCTTTACAAACTTGGGCATCTTGGGTGGACCATATGATCAATCCAGATAAAACACGCGTCTTCTTTCGAACCTTTGAACCATCTCACTGGAGGTATCTACGCTGTTTATTAACTAATTCCTTTTCATATTCTGAAACTTGAAAATATTCATCAATTACATGTGACAAAAAATTATGAATTCCTATTCTCTCCACTATCTCTTTAATTATCCTTTCTGTTGAGTGTTTAAAGTTTTCCTCTCCCTAAAAGAATATAACTGCTTAGGTTATTGTAATCAATACATATTTTTCTTATATGTGGATATAAAAATATGCATGTAAATCTTCACATTAACTATGTGTGTCAATATATATCTTTTAAGAAATGTTTACATCAAATAACGGCTCTTGGGATGTCTGCCTGTATCAGGAACCTAACTCTACGAGAGTGCGAAGTGTCTCAGTTACCTCTTTCAGAAGTCGAAGGGAAGGACTATAGTCCGTTTTCAGATACCGTTTTCGAGGTGGTTAATACTATGATTGTTCCCGTGACTGTTGTTCACGTAACTCCCATGTCAGCATTTAGAAGTGATGCACATGTGGGCACGTGGAGTGACCGGCCATCCTTATCCGACTGCAGCCACTGGTGTTTGCCTGGACTGCCAGACGTGTGGAATGAAATAGTCCTTTCATATTTGCTTCGAAACTATGAAGCTGCTTCTTAGTGAGTGCTCCGAGTAAGTGAATTGTTGATCTGTTTAAAGTGTGATTCTTTTTTTGTTTTTGTTTTTGTTTTTGTTTTTTGTTTTTTTGTTTTTTGTTTTTCTTTTTTTTGGTGCATAAAAATCTTGTTTGCATATCATGCCTAGAGAGTTATCTCTGTAAAGGCTGCATTGCATATGATTTGGAAGGATAGCACAAGATTTGCCATATACATCTTCGGTTTCTCAGCTAAATGGAACTTCTCAAAATTTCGGCTCATTGTCGTTTCTGATGTTTCAGAGGCTCATTAGTCACTTTAATGGAACAAGCCAAAGATCATAGATAAAAAGAGAGAGAAATACTTAAATGGGATTGGCCTGCTGTTTTTCTTTGATCTTGTTTGGATGATACTTCGTTCTGCTCTATTTATTGCTGAAGTTGCCCAAAACTATGTTATCTTCTCACTTGTTTGCTAGCTTCTGCAGGCTTCGTTTGTGGTTTAAGTCTGGTGGACAACGATTGCTCTCGAGATCTAACTGGATGAGATGTTTAGGAGATGTGCATGATACATGCAAGATGACGGCCTTGTACACACATATGAAAAAGAAAAATAGTTTTTTTTTTGTTGCTTTTGCATCTAGAAAATTGAAGAAGCATAGAAGGGAAAAAACGAAGTGAACAATGGATCAAACTATTTTTGTGTTCCGTTGAATTTCTGCTAACATAGAGGAAACCAAGAAAATAGAAAGAATTTTCAGTTAACCCAACAATCAGTCATTTTCATTTTATTATTATTATTATTAGAAAGAATTTTCAGTTAACCCAACAATCAGTTATTTTCATTTTTATTATTATTATTATTTTAGAAGCCACCGTGTCATTATTAAAATCAATTTTATTTTTTATTGTATTTTTCATCGGTAAAATCAATTTTAATTTTCATCTATCATTATATAAAAAGAATAACCATTTTTTAAAAATGGTAAGTCAAATTCTTAGTCAACATGTTTTGCATGAATTACTTGTCATTAATGGTAATAAATATTTTTCTATTAGCTTCCTTGTGCAATTAATGCTTTCCAAGATTTTTGGGATGTTGTTATTTTGTAATTGACCAATGCACTGCTTTTGCGTTAGAAAATCTTATCCCATTAAAAAATCTTATCCTATTAAATCTCCTTAATATAACACTTATTTTATATTAAAAAATAATAATACCACGAATTTTGATTTTCAATCCTTCACAAATTAAAGAATCTTATAAATTAAATGTCAGCATTTAAAAAAATCGACCTCTCCAAAACTCTATCCGATTTTATTTAAAGTCACGAATACCTTGCTCAATCAATTCTCCAAAATATAAGTCCGAGTTATTGTCTAATAAATTTTTTTAGGGTATTTACTATATAAAAAAGCAATTCTCCAAAATATAAGTCCTCTAATAAGAATTTTTTATACTATATAACAAAATTAGTGCATGTTGTATTGTCTAATTATTTTTTTATGTTATTTGTAATTACTAATATTTTTGCTTAAAATTATTAATGTTTGTTAGATCAACGATTTTTTAGACTATAATATATAACAGTGGATATAACTCTAAATATATTTTTATATATAATATTATATATAATTTAAACATGTTATTTGAGTAATTTTTTTTACACATTCGTGTATATATATAGAGAGAGAAATGTTAACTTTAAGTGATTTTAGATACTTTTTTTATAAAATAGTTTAGAAAAAAATGAGATAATTTCATATTTTTCAAGAATAATATATAATATTTTAGATACTTTTACACACTTTATATAATAGTTTAGGTATTCTTAATGTTTTAAAAATATTTAGACAAATTTTACATATTCTCTAGATTAAGACATTGTTTTCCTTACAAAATAGTTTAAAAAAATTTTAGGTGACTTCACACATATTTCAAAAATAATGTAAAATATTTTGAATACTTTTTAGATATGTGATAAAAGATTATGTATTACATAAAAAGAGAATAAGAGTTATAAAGCATGGTAATTTTAGATATAAAATTCTATTTTATTTGTTATAACTTACATGGAAGTTATGTTTTAATTATCGATATCATCTCAATGCCTTGCTTTGCTTTTTTCGCGAGACAATATCTGTTATTAGACTCATAAGATTTTATATAATTTTGAACATATTTTTTAGACAATTTTGTACACATTATACATGTCCACATACACATATACATATACATATGTTAAATATAAATAATTTTAGGCATGTTTTTTTTTACAAAATAGTTTAAAAAATTTTTAGATGAGTCCACATCTTTCAATAATGATATTTAAAATTTTAGATACTTTTACATATGTTATATAATATTTTAGACGTTTTTAATACTTTAAACAATCATTTTTTTCAAATTCTTTTATACAAGATAATTATATATTGTTTACAACTCATATACGATAAATTATATTACGTATGAAGTTCACATCTTTAATTTATAATTATTAGTTAATATTATTTAACTTCATCTTTAATATATAATCATTAACTAATATTGTTTACCCGTGCATCGCACGGGATACGCACTAGTTCATGATAAAGTTGTGCAAACTGCAAACCACAAAGTGAGATTCCAACTGGGGATGGTGTAATCACCATAAATCAATATTTCAATTTATTTATTTCTGTTCCCCTACTCACGGTGGGCAAATATTAATATGCTCACCTCTAAAGTGAGATTCTAATTGGGGATGGTGCAATCACCATAAATCAATATTTCAATTTATTTATATATGTTCTCTTACTCACGGTGGGCAAATATTAATATGCTCACCTCTAAAGTGAGATTCTAACTGGGGATGGTGCAATCACCATAAATCAATATTTCAATTTATTTATATCTGCTCCCCTACTCACGGTGGGCAAATATTAATATGCTCACCTCTTACGTGCCACGTACATCATTAATTATTTTTTCTCCTACAAATCCACCCCGAGTTATTTTTCTCTTAAAAAGACGACAGCGAAATTGAATTGAGCCCCAATAACAGAATCAATCGGCTTTGCCTTCGACGGCGGACGAAATTGACGAGTCATACCAGGCCGACGGACGACGGAGGCAATTGACGAGCCATACCGGAAGTGAAGGCGAAGCTCAGTTTCAGGGTCGCACCTCCCACAGCCGGCTGATCTCAGTTTTTCTTTCCCACACACGAGACTCGAGAAGTTATTCCTTTCTTGTTTTTCTGCGAAAATTATTTCCCTTTTTCAACCTAACCTAGTTTTGTTTTAGTTTGTGCTACTCTTCTGAATTATATGTCTGATTAACAAAATTAAGAAAAAGGAAATTGAAAATAGTTTTTATTGCAAGTTTGAACATGAAGTTCTAAATACTATCCTATTTTGCTCTGTCATTGATGATTTGCGTATACATTCATGTTGATTTTTTTTTTTTTTTTTTCTTTTTCCTCAGGTTACATTCATGTTGATCAATATTAATATTATCAAAAATATTATTGATTCACAATTTTATGTTTATTATTTTATTATTGGATCTCATGTATTTACTGATTGTGTGTGGTATTGATTAGTTCATGTGTTGTGTTGAGCTCTATTTTTATGTTTAAGTGGCTTCAAGTTACACCATTTGCAAGGTCAAATTACTAATTTATATACTGAAAATTATTGTTACTTTTGGGTGCTATCTGCCTTTTTGTTCAAGACATTTATAGTTCTTTTTTTACCTTGGAAACTTTCACCCAACGAACCTTTGATTTCTCTAATGCTTTTGATAGAAAAGTGGCTGGTGATATTGGCAATGAACTCATCATTGGAGATGGCTTCAATTTAGGGAGGGAGAGAGATTGGTTGTTGTTGTAGTGGAATTGGCAAAAAAAGTTCATGTGATAAATAGCAGGTACATAATTTTTTTGTAAAGTTGTCTAGTTTTTCGATTTTGATCTTGGCTATAAATTTTGGGAATAATTGCATAACCAAAATTAAGATTTGGAGGACTTACAAATAAACCCAGAAAAAAAATAATAACTAACCTAGAAATTTTTTTTTGGGGTTTATGTGATAACCTGATCTTCAGGAGAGTTTTAGCAACTTTTCTAAAATGTTATGTCACAATGGAAAAAAGCTACAAATGAAAATTGTCCAGAAACACAAACATTGACCTATTCATTTGAAATCTTTGCAGCGGTAAAGGGTTTAATTGGTCGAGATTCAAGCTTTCACCTATTAGGAGCAAACGGGAAAGGCTATTTGCTAGAGGGATTAAGCCCGAGAACGTGTGTGAACCTCTTTGACCCTAAAGCAGACAGAGATTGTAAGCAGCGGTATTTGTGGCGCAGATGGAATACAAAAAGATGAATCTCATGGAAGCATGGATGAGGTTTATTCCATTCACTATTGATCAATAGCAGTGATTTAATGTTGTATAAAGAATGTGGCAAAAAATCTTATATTAGCAGCACTCCAACTTTGGTTTTGTTTGAACAGTTACATTAAGTTCTTATTTAAAAAACATTCATTGACATGAAGTTCTTGTTTAAAAGACTTTATTCTTCTCATGTTGATTTTCTCTAACATTACAAAGCCGGATTTAAGAATTTCACATACCCCACAAGACTTAGCACCAAAACATATTTTTTGTTAAATGATTCGTTTTTGCAGGGATGTTGTCTGGAAATGTACACGACCACTAATTTACTTCAAATCCTGTTTCAGTTCATTCGAAGACAATCTCAGTAAATCATTGGTACCATTGACGTTTGCCAGTTGCATAGAATTGCAATGGGAGAGAGACTCGCAAGCACTATTTTAAATATGGACCATAAAGAAAAATGTCATCTTTTTTTTTTCCCTCTTGTGGCGAGTGGTATGGATAAAACTAAAATCTTGATAAAACTGAAATCGTTTGACTGGTTAAATCATTACAACCAAAATGGAGATGTTTTGCCTCAGACCACTCTCAAACAAAGCATAATTATCTTGCACTCTCAGATGAAGCATAACCATCTGGCAAGAATTTCACATCTTAAGGATCTCTTTTAAGGGCATGCTCTCATACTTCTGTCAGATGGATCTTTTCATTAACGTTGATTGTAGCTCCTTCCCGTAGCTCGTTTTTTTCATTCAAAATCATAACGATCAGCTGCTGCAAGTAACTTCGCAGTCAATGTGTGACTAATCAAAGGAGATGAACAACAGCTGGATGCTATCAGGTAATCTTCAACTAAGGCATCTCTGTAGATAAAATGTAGCATGCCTGCAACACAAAATGTGGAAAAGAATGAGAAATTCATTTGAAAATCAATCTAGTGGATGACACTGCATAACTTGAATTTAACTAGGAAATAACCAGTTAAAAATTGTGATGGCCTTTTTATCCTTAAACTAACAAGAGCAGATTAATGGACTCTACTAACCTTAAAACTTTGGGATCCATGTCTGATACTACAATTTCTTGTTCAACACTATTCATTTCTTCAAAAAGTTCAGATCCAAGTATAGGGGAACCCCTTTGAAGATTGAAAGTCCAAGGATCAATTGCGTTCGTCGCCCGTCGGCCGGGTATGGCTCGTCAATTTCGCCCGCCGTCGAAGGCAAAGCCGATTGATTTCGGTATAGGGTGACCAGAAACTGAGCTTCGCCTTCACTTCCGGTATGGCTCGTCAATTGCATCCGTCGTCCGTCATCCCAGTATGACTCGTCAATTTCGTCCGCCGTCTACGGCGAAGCCGATTGATTTTGTTATTGGAGCTCAATTCAATTTCGCCGTCATCTTTTTCAGAGAAAAGTAAGTCGGGGACAAGAAAGAAAAATAACTGATAAATATGGATTTGTAAGAGAGAAAATAATTGATGATGTGTACGTGCCACGTAAGAGGTGGGCATATTAATATTTACCCACCACGGGTTGGGGAGCGGAACCGATAAGCTATTTATCAGTTATTTTTCTTTCTTGTCCCCGACTTATTTTTCTCTGAAATAGACGACGGCGAAATTGAATTGAGCCCCAATAACAAAATCAATCGGCTTTGCCTTCGACGGCGGACGAAATTGACGTGTCATACCGAGCCGACGGACGCAATTGACGAACCATACCGAAAGTGAAGGCGAAACTCAGTTTTTTTTTTTTTCCCACACACGAGACTCGAGAGGTTATTCCTTTCTTGTTTGTCTGCAAAAATTATTTCACTTCTTCAACCTAACATTTTAGTTTTTATTGCAAGTTTGAACATGAAGTTCTAAATACTATCATATTTTGCTCTGTCATTGATGATTTGCGTATACATTCATGTTGATTTTTTTTTTTTTTTTTTATCTTTTTCCTCAGGTTACATTCATGTTGATCAATAGTTTATGTTTATTATTTTATTATTGGATCTCATGTATTTACTGATTGTGTGTGGTACTGGTTAGTTCATATGTGTTGTGTTGAGCTCTATTTTTATGTTTAAATGGCTTCAACTTGCACCATTTGCAGGGTCAAATTACTAATTTATATCCTGGCAATTATTGTTACTTTTGGGTGCTATATTTGATTTCTCTTATGCTTCTGATAGAAGTGGATGGTGATATTGGCAATGAACTCATCATTGGAGATGGCTTCAATTTAGGGAGGGAGAGAGATTGGTTGTTGTTGTAGTGGAGTTGGAAAAAAAAGTTCATATGATAAATAGCAGGTTCATAAATTTTTTGTAAATTGTCTAGTTTTTGGATTTTGATCTTACTATAAATTTTAGGAATAATTGCATAATCAAAATTGAGATCTGGAGGACTTACAAATAAACCCAGAAAAAAATAATAACTAACCTAGAGCTTTTAATTTTTTTTGAGAATTATGTGATAACCTGATTCTCAGGAGAGTTTTAGCAACTTTTCTAAAATGTTATGTCACAGCAGAAAAAAGCTACGAAGAAAACCTATCCAGAAACACAAACATTGACCTATTCATTTGAAATCTTTGCAGCGGTAAAGGGTTTAATTGGTCGAGATTCAAGCTACCGCCTATTAAGAGCAAACGGGGAAGGCTATTTACTAGAGGGATTAAGCCCGAGAACATGTGTATTAAGCCCGAGAACGTGTGTGAAGATCTTTGACCCTAAAGCAGACAAAGATTGTAAGCAGCGGTATTTGTGGCGCAGTACAAAAAGATGAATCTCATGGAAGCATGGATGCAGTTTATTCCATTCACTATTGACCAATAGCAGTGATTTAATGTTGTATAAACAATGTGGCAAAAAATCTTATATTAGCAGCACTCCAACTTTGGTTTTGTTTGAACAGTTACATTAAGTTCTTATTTAAAAAACATTCATTGACATGAAATTCTTGTTTAAAAGACTTTATTCTTCTCATGTTGTTTTTCTCTAACATTACAAAGCCGGATTTAAGGATTTCACATACCCCACAAGACTTTGCACCAAAACATATTTTTTGTTAAATGATTCGTTTTTGCAGGGATGTTGTCTGGAAATGTACACGACCACTAATTTACTTCAAATCCTGTTTCAATTCATTCGAAGACAATCTCAGTAAATCATTGGTACCATTGACGTTTGCCAGTTGCATAGAATTGCAATGAGAGAGAGACTCGCAAGCACTATTTTAAATATGGATCATAAAGAAAAATGTCATCTTTTTTTTCCTCTTGTGGCGAGTGGTATGAATAAAACTAAAATCTTGATAAACTGAAATATTTTGACTGTTTAAACCATTACAACCAATATGGAGATGTTTTGCCTCAGACCACTCTCAAATGAAGCATAATTATCTTGCACTCTCAAATGAAGCATAACCATCTTGCAAGAGTTTTCACATCTTAAGGATCTCTTTTAAGGGCAAGCTCTCATACTTCTGTCAGATGGATCTTTTCATTAACGTCGATTGTAGCTCCTTCCCGCAGCTCGTTTTTCATCCAAAATCTTAACGATCAGCTGCTGCAAGTAACGTCACAGTCAATGTGTCACTAATCAAAGGAGATGAACAACAGCTGGATGCTATCAGGTCATCTTCAACTAAGGCATCTCTGTAGATAAAATGTAGCATGCCTGCAACACAAAATGTGGAAAAGAATAAGAAATTCATTTGACAATCAATCTAGTGGATGACACTGCATAACTTGAGTTTAACTAAGAAAGAACCAGTTAAAAAATGTGATGGCTTTTCTATTCCTAAACTAACATGAGCAGATAAAAATGCACTCTACTAACCTTAAAAACTTTGGGTTCCATTTCTGATACTATAATTTCTTGTTCAGCACTATCCATTTCTTCAAAAAGTTCAGATCGAAGTATAGGGGAACCCCTTTGAAGATTGAAAGTCCAAGGATAAATTGCGTTCGTCGCCCGTCGACTGGGTATGGCTCGTCAATTTCGCCCGCCGTCGAAGGAGAAGTCGATTGATTTCGGTATCGGGCGACCCTGAAACTGAGCTTCGCCTTCACTTCTGGTATGGCTCGTCAATTGCGTCTGTTGTCCGTCGGCCTGGTATGACTCATGAATTTCGTCTGCCGTAGAAGGCGAAGCCGATTGATTTTGTTATTGGGCTCAATTCAATTTCGCCGTCTTCTTTTTCAGAGAAAAATAAGTCGGGGACAAGAAAGAAAAATAACTTATAAATATGGAGTTGTAGGAGAGAATAATTGATGATGTGTACGTGCCACGTAAGAGGTGGACATATTAATATTTACCCACCGTGGGTAGGGGACCGGAACCGTATAGCTCTATCCTGAATAATTTAGAAAGTTCTTATTACAAATTTCACAATTAAGAAATTCTTAATATTTAGTAACAAATTCCTAACATATATAAATATTACCATAGAATAGGATCACAAATTCATAGAAAGTAAATTCGCAAATATCAATACTAGCTATATGGTATAAATTTTGAAAAAAAAAATTATTAAATATTTAACAATTAAAAATTCTTAGAGACAAATTCATAAACAAGAACAAAAAAATTCCAATAAAATAAAATTCACAAATCTCTAGAAAGTAAAAAATAAAAAACATATATATAAAAAAAAAGAATTTGCCATATATTAGGGATCACTATCTACTAGTTCTTGTATGAGACAAACTAATGGTTAAGCAGTAACGCCCCGTTATTTTTAAGTGAAAAATACCAGTTTTATTTTTCCAAAAATCAGAGTTAATTTTTCGAAAACCAATTTAAAGATTTTAATTAACGGGCGCTAATCAATTTTTCACATAAAAACGATTTAAGTGAATCACTTAAACATCGGGGAACAACCATCCCGAAACAAATATCTCATGCTAACGACATATGATCCATCATGCGAAATAATCAAATCAAAACCAACATGATAATATTATCCAATCAAATCCAAATCCCAATTATCAATCCAGTTCTAAAAATCCCAAGCATGAATTAAAATCCCAAATAACATTGGTTCAGTTTCCAAACGAAAAATAAACAAGTCTAACATGAGATAATAAATAATAATAATCAAGCGGAAGCATGTAACTAGCAGTTCAATAGCTAACAATGACCCCCTCTCGCTCGTCTTTCGCCACAGCCACCAGCTCAACCTGAAAGATGGTTAATAGTGGGAGTGAGCAAACAACTAGCTCAACGCGGGAATACCATGCAGTATAATCAATATAAAGACTTAAAATCATAATCGCAATATGTAAGCAAATCGATTAGTCTATCCTCCCTAAACACAACCACGCTCAGAAGGCTTTTCGCAGAAAAACCTCATTTCCGAAATTGAGTTCTTGTAGGTTTGGAGGTCGTTCAAGGTACAAGAAAGCAGATCCTTGTTGTGTTATGCTCGAACCAAGACCGGGTGAAGTCCATTTCACTATTAGTGCAAAAGTTAAAAATGCCAAAGCATTCGCATAACCCTTCGATATGTGAAGTTATGGGATTGATATGCAATACTTATTCTTTCGATACACGAAGTTATGCGATTGATATGCGACACTTATTCGACTAATATTGGACAGTTAATCGAACCATTTGCATAGCTTTAGCATTTTTTGGAGTAAAAATGTTAGATTGTTAACCGCTAAGATAAAAAAAGGGTGTTGCTAAATACCGCACCCTTTTTGCTAAATACCGCACCCCAATTTACATATTTGCCCTTTTATAAAAAAAATAAAAATAAAAAAAAATAAAAATAAAAAAAAATAAAAAATATGGACGCACATCACAAATAAGGGTGTTGATACAAAACACATCAAAAGGGCAAAACATCAAAACACATCAAAAGGACATAAAAAAAAAAAAAAAATTGTGTTGATACAAAAATAAAAAAACACATCAAAACATCAAAAAATTGTAATAAATTCGAAAAAAATCGAAAAAAAGGGCAATTTAATTCGGAAAAAAAGGGCAACTTCAAAACATCACAGGTAAGTTTTTTTTTTTTTTCGTTGATACAAATTTTTTTGGAAAAAAAAAAAAAA